ACCCATGTGGAAGCTCTGCGAACTCTGTCCCTTTGGGTTTTTATGGAGGTTTCTTTATGTCAGCACGATTGACTAACTCATCAGCCGTTGGTGAAGTCAACCTCCAGCCTCTGTCCCTTCTCCAGAGGATGAGGGTAGGGACTGAAAGTTCTAACCCTCTAATCACCAGGTCTGTTCTCTAGGCTCCCAGCCCCCCTCAGGTGCTTCCCCAGAATCACCTCATTAATATAACAAAAGACATTCCAAGAGTTTTAAGAGCTCTGTACCAGGGAGGGGGGCAAGCCCAAATATATGATTTCTCATTATAAATCACAGTAACACAGTTGGCTAAGGTCCTTCTGGAGTAAATAAGCCTCACTGGCTTAAGCAACAAAAGACAGTTTATTGGAAGGATCCTGGGGTGTGTCATGGAATTCCAGCATCAGAAGGAATAAGAATCAGGGAATTGTGGGGAACCACAGCAGCCAGAGGTTGGGGTATGCTCTTCAGAGTACACAGTAACCTGACTCCATCTTCATCTCTCATCTTCACACTTTGCTGTGTGTGTCTGTGTACAGGCTTTTCCTCTTTCCCAGACAATGTGACACGGAGTATGTGTCACTGGCTCAGCCATTTTGAAAGAAAATGGCTCATTTTTTAGGAGCGCTCTCTCGTTCTCTCTCTCTCTCTCTTGCTCTCTCTCTCATTCTCATTCTCTCCCTCTCTTTACCAAATTGAGATTCCTGGGAAGAAACTGACTGATCCAGTTTGGATCCATACCAGTTAGCTGTAGCCAGGGTTGGTGCTGCACATACAAGCCTGACCCACTACAACCACCCCCGGCCAGAACCTCCACATAATGGGGGTGAATGTTCCCAGAGAGGGGTTGGCTATGCAGACAGTCTGTTCCTAGTTTCCATCCCAAATGAGCATGTAAGCAAGGACTAACGTAGCTTATAGGAAAAGACCAAGGCCCACAGTGAGCTCCCAACAGCAATGACAGCAGCAGCAACCTATGACCAAATCACAAAAAGAATAAAGAAAAGATAAAGACTGTGAAATATCAACAAATGACAAAGAGAAAGTAAGATTAAGAATTCCAGGTTCAGGGATCCCTGGGTGGCGCAGTGGTTTGGCGCCTGCCTTTGGCCCGGGGCGCGATCTTGGAGACCCGGGATCGAATCCCACGTCGGGCTCCCGGTGGAGCCTGCTTCTCCCTCTGCCTGTGTCTCTGCCTCTCTCTCTCTCACTGTGTGCCTATCATAAATAAATTTAAAAAATTAAAAAAAATAATAAAGCTTTAAAAAAAAAAAAAGAATTCCAGGTTCATCATTCTGGAGAATCTCTTCAAACCAGAAAGTATAGGATGGACAAGCCTGGGATGACACTCCCTGCCTTCTGTCTCACCCTAATAAGAGCGCCCATAAGACTGTAAACATTATAGGTGACGTTGATTTAAATGTCGTGCACTTGTGATCTTTATGTGGCCTCATAATAAATCCAAAGTCAGTCCTAAGTTCAAAAGATCACTTGTAGTTTATGAACTTACTTGATAGCAGATAAGAAGAAAAAAAAAATCTCTGGGTCATCTTGTCTAGAAGCTGATTACAAGTCCCCAGTAATAAGACCTAATTGCCAAAGAGCATCAAACATATTCTAAAAAATTATATATATATGTATAAAATAAATTACACGTGTGTATACGTATATACACAATTTCTATCTAGATTGAGAGGATGTTTGTGTGTGTGTGTGTGTGAGCATATGAGTAACATCTTGTGTGTGTGTGTGTGAGCATATGAGTAACATCTTGGAAGTATAGGAAAATGCAAAGGAGAAAATAGAAATTAGCCATAATTTCCCAAGGCGGCATCAACTTCTGTGACCGTTTTGATAGATCCCCTCCTGGCCATTTATGCTCAAGTGTGTGAGGTTTTCTGGCTTTCAGGACAGTGTGCTTCCCTCTCCTGTGCAATCAATGTCAGGTCTGCAGGCTGGTAGCACCAGGCCCCAGAAGCTCGCCAGAGATACCACCTGTCTGCCCAGCCCCAGCCCAGCCCCACAGAGTGCAATCTCTGAGGCCGGGGACCAGGCATCTGTATTTCCCTAAGCCCTCTGGGTGAGTCAAATGCACAGGAAAAGCTTGAGAAATGCTGGTCTCTACCAGTGCTACCCAAAGTGTGCCCTATGAACTGGTCCTGGGTTAGGACAGGATTAATACAAAACTAGAGAGTGAGCGCGTGAGAATGTTTTTGTTAATCGGATGTGGCGGGGACATCCAAGCCTGAGACCCTTAAAAAAGAAAGCTGTATTTCATTTTGTATATTTGGTCTACAATAGGACTCTGTAAAATATGGAAAAAGGGAAATTCATGATCGTTGGTGCCTGTAGGGAAAGATGAGAATTGCAAATGACGGTGTATTTTCTGTATTTGAAAACAATACCCACGAGCACCAACAAAGAAAAACTGGTCCTTGGTTGCAGGTAGTTTGAGAAGCATTGGCCTACTCCGTCTGTGCGTCTCTCTAAACAAAACTGCTTGTTCCAGGGACGCCTGGGTGGGTGCCTCTGTTGGTTAAGCCTCTGACTCTTGATTTTGGCTCAGATCCTGATCCCAGGGTCGCGGGATCCAGCCTCCACCCCCTGACTCCCCACTGGGGCAGAGAAGGGGAGTCTGCTTCTCTCTTTCTCCCTCTCCCCCTCCCCCATACACACGCACGCATGCTCTCTCTCAGTAAATAATTTTTTTTTCTTTTTTTTCTTTTTTTTTTTTTTAAATTTTTATTTTATTTATGATAGTCACAGAGAGAGAGAGAGAGAGAGAGAGAGAGAGAGAGAGGCAGAGACACAAGCAGGCTCCATGCACCAGGAGCCCGACGTGGGATTTGATCCAGGGTCTCCAGGATCGCGCCCTGGGCCAAAGGCAGGCGCTAAACCGCTGCGCCACCCAGGGATCCCCAATAAATTTTTTTTTCTAAGATTTTTTATTTATTCATGACAGACATAGGGAGAGAGAGAGGCAGAGACACAGGAAGAAGAAGAAGAAGCAGGCTCCGTGCAGGGAGCCCGACATGGGACTTGATCCCGGGTCTCCAGGAATCACACCCTGGGCCAAAGGCAGGTGCTAAACCGCTGAGCCACCCAGGGATCCTCAATAAATCTTAAAAAAAAAAACCTTCCTGTTCCAAAGAGGACTCCGCCACAACTGCAGCCACTTGCAAGGGTCACTTCTAAACTGAGTGTCTGCTTGTTTTGCTGGAGGTGGGATAATTTGAACTTGGTGTAGGGGGATAAGCAGGAGTAGACTTCAGTCTTTCAGTAGGAACAACGGAAGCCAGTGTAGAATTTTAAAGCCGAGAAATGACATGATCAGACTTGATTTTTCAAAGGAGTGGGCAAGACGGGGCACAGGCAGTGAGTTGGGAGGTGGCCGCAGTTGCCTAGTCAAGAGTTGATGGCGGTTTAGGGTGGTGTTGGTGGGGACAAAGAAGAGTCAATAGATTCAACAGATTTTGTTAAAAGTGAAACTTGAGTACATGTGTCAGGAGGTGAGGGCGAGAGAGTTACCTCATTCCATGGCTTGGCTTTGTTTCCTGTATGTCTTAATACTGATGGTTTTTCAAGATAATCAGGTTTCTGTGCTATTTAAATAAATGACACATAAATGGTTGGATAACTTCTATTTGCTTTTATCACACAGTCTGCTTGCGGGCAGCTCTGTGCATTTACCTGTGACTTTACCTGAATACCTAGAGATCATGGTTCCAGTTATAATTTACTATAGAAAATCTGATTATTGGCCCTTTTTGAAAATCCTGAGCCTTACATCCCAAGAACAAATTTTAATTATATTTCCACAACAACAAAATCAATCTGAATACTTAGTAGACCTTGTTGAAAAAATAGCATTTTGCCAGAAATACACAGTTATAAAACCAGTTAGTTGAAATTGTAATATTGGTCATTATATATGACATGTGTGTGCTTATGAATGACTGCTACTATCTGGTAGTTAAATTCAATTTTAAGATCTACTATATCACCATCCATTCAACAAACATAGAAACAATTAACACCAAAGGGTGGGAAGTAGCCAAGAAATGATTTCTCTGTTTTCTCCATTGCTTTCTTGAAAAACAACTTTCCTGGTGGCATAATTTACACATAATAAACGTACCCATCTTAAGAGAGGGGGATAAAAAGTGGGAAGATTCAAATCCTAGAAGATGGAACAGTTCTTAAAACCAAACAGATTTTTTGAAAGCTTCATGCAATCCTTTAGTTTTCTCTTTTTTACTGTGCATTGATGCACATGACCTTGGGGCTGGTATGCAGGTGGAATTTTGGATCCACCCCCATTCTGGGAGTGGCTGAGAAAGGAGAAGTCGTCTTCAAACAGTGTAGGCAGGGGAGGAAAATAGTTTTCCCTCTATCCTTCTAGAACTGTACCTACCCCCCCCCCCATAAAAGACAGATGGACAGGAGAGAAACCGAACAATTGTAATTACATAGCACACATGGGAGCCCCACAAAAAACATGACTCAAAGGGAGCCCGATATTTGAGGCTTATGCAGGCTTCTGAGCTAAGGAAAGGGCTGGGTGCGAGGGCTGCCAAGAGCAGTGGGAAGCCACCTGGAGAAGGTGAGAGGAGGAACTGTTTGGTAAACAGAGTCTGCCCTGCCCAAACCGCAGGCTCTCAGGTGAAAAAGGTGATCTCTGGTCCTAGGTGCTCGCTTGGTAAAGCCCCTTTTCTCATGTAAATCTCCCTTACAAGGGAGTAACAAGGGTTACTCCTTCCGTTTATGGAGCTTCTCCAGAGTCACAATTTCTCAAAAATAATCAGTTCAAAGTTATGAGCGTGCCAAAGAGGATTATTTGGGGCGGCCTATCCTGCCATCCACCAACAGAGCAAATGCCTGAGCTAGCCTGGGGGCTGGGGAGGGGGACTGTTCTTTTGTATTCATTTATTTATTCATCACCTCTTACTTGCCCACTTTTCTCCTTTTTTAAACCTGTTTAGCCTATCAGCTGATCACCGTGGTGATCGCAGCAGCAGGAGGAGGGCTTCTACTTATTCTGGGCATCGCACTGATTGTCACCTGCTGCCGGTGAGTGCAATGTGCCCGGGGTTCACATTCTAATTCTCTTGGCCTCTGCTAAGCAAGGTTTACTCTTTTAGAGAATGTTTGGGGTTGTTTACAGTATGAAATCATCCTGTATGACTGAACCATTAAAAAAAAAAAGAGAGAAAGGGAAATTCATGATAGATAGTGGCATCGAGAAAGGACAGCAAATGGGACTCTGTTTCCTTTACTGAAAAAAGAACATCCCAAAGTACAAGCGACAAAAAAGTGCTAAATTGGACGTCATCAAAATGAAAAACTCCTGTGCTTCAAAGAACCCTATCAAGAAAGTGAAAACACAACCCAGGGAACAGGAGAAAGTATTTGAAAACCATGTGTTTAATAAGAGACTTTGTTTGGAATATATAAAGAACGCTTACAACTCGATCATAAAAAAGCAACCTCATTTAAAAGTGGGCAAAGAACTTGAATAGACATTTCATGAAAGGAGAAGAATAAACGACCAGGAGGCACGTGAAAGGATGCTCTGCGTAGTTAGCCATCAGGGAAATGCAAACAGAATTGAATCAATGGTGGGATGTGAGATGCCACTTACACTCAAGACTCGGGTGCCCAGGGCTGGTGGGTGGGGGTGGGAATTGGGGAGTAATGGCTAAGGGGTAAGAGGTTCCTTTTTAGGTTGACAAAACTGTTGTAAAAATGGACTGTGATGGTGGTTGCACACGTCTGAATATACTAAAACGTACTTTAAATGGGCAAATTTAGAAACAAAGGTGAAGGGGTTAGCTGAGCTACCTGGCAGTAAACAAGCTGCAGAAGGCTCATGGTGTGGCTCTGGCTTCTTGGAAGCGGGTGCAACTGGGTTTCTACCGGAAGAGGAAGAGAAAGAAGACACCCGTCCCCTTTCTCTGGTGATTGTCTGGTCAGATAAGGGACAATTATGACTTTTGATTTAGATGATTATAAATGGCAGGAATTTTTCTGACGTAACAGATGGAGGGAACCTACCAAAATAGCAAGTTATCTCTTTGGCCATTGATAGGAAGGGCGTCCGTCGTAAGATATCTTTCACCTCCCGTAAGGCCACAGAGAGCAATTTGCCCTAACTGCCCATCTGGGAATGCAGACTTCGTGGTACTGCTTTTGCCTGTCGTTTGCAGAGTTGCCACCAAATCATCAAAGACAAACTATGAGTGGAAACAAAATCCTGGGTATGAGACTAGGAGCTAGAGGGATTAAACCTCAAGGGGACGTAAGCCTCCTAGTTGCCAAGTGTCCGATAACCAGGTAGTGTGAGGGCCTGGAGAAGGAGCCCGTGACTTTGGGCTTCACCGGGAAGGTAGTCGTGAATTAGCAAGTCATTGTTTGAGACCGGACGCCCCACCCGCCTGGGAGCAGCACAGTGGCAGGTCTGTTCTTGAACTCACAAGAAGGGCCAACGCCTAAGCCATATGCTGGACATTTGGTTTTATGACCCTTAGTCATTTTGTGCCTTCCCAGAAAGATTATTTATAGGAAAGTGAGGTAAGAAGGAAGAAACTTCCTTACCCAGGGCAGATATAACTAAAAACAACTGATCCTAGCCCATCCCATAGAAAAACCACACATACTTCAACCATCTCCTGCTAGTGAACCCTCGCAGATAGCGAGCTTGTCCTGGGCTTTCCCTGACCTGCTGAAATAAGAATATATACGTGGGTAGTATAAACAGGTGGAAATTTTTGCAAATGAAACAGCCTGGTTTTATGGTCTGTGAAGTTGCTTCACATGGCTGGCGAGGCAGGAGGCCTGAACTCTAATCCCAGCTTGGCTAGCAGCAAAATGTGACCTGGGCAACGAATCTCATCTTTTTTGCAAAGCCAGAGCTGTCCCATCCCCAGAGCTCCTCTTTTAGTAAATCTCGGTGAGACCTACAAGTTTCCACATACGTTCTGATGCTCAAGCAGGTTTAGAACCATTGGGTTCAAGAATCCTAAAGGCCCTCTGGCTCCAGCGTTCTGGGGATTTATGACTCTCATTTCCCTGGCTGTCCCCACGATGCAGCGACCTCTGTCCCCTGGAAAAGACTGCTTCACTATGGCTGTGTTTATCCTGTCAATGGTAACCTGGCCCTTCCAGCCAGAAGATTTTTTTTTTTTTGCATTTAATTGCATTTTTACTTGTTTTAGGCTAAATATAACAAGAATACCGTTTTCCAGCAGGTGTTTACAAAAGAATGTAATGGCAGCTTTCTGTCTAATTTACCTTCTAAAATAATAAAATGTGCTCTCATAGATATCATTTCTTTACAGAACTTATTCATTTAAACAGTCAACTATTTTTTGTTCCACAGAAAGAGTAAAAATGACATAAGCAAACTCATCTTCAAAAGTGGGGATTTCCAAATGTCCCCATATGCTGAGTACCCCAAAAACCCTCGCTCACAAGAATGGGGCCGAGAAGCCATTGAAATGCATGAGAACGGAAGCACCAAAAACCTCCTCCAGATGACGGATGTGTATTACTCGGTGCGTATTATCCCCGTGTCCAGGGCAACCCAGCCTCCAATTCCCCCTGACAAGTATAGGGGTCGTGTTTTGTGGTAAAATAAAGATACTTCAGCTGGTTCAGGGTTAAAGAGAATGCTGGCATGAGCCACTTATTTACATAATTTAATATTTGATTTACTTACAACATATTTGCATGGTATTTGTTAGTTTTGACATCAAGATAATGCAGGGTATTTCCACCTAGCACGTTACTTTTAGAGTTGTCGCAATGACCCTTCTCGTGACCGAATTTAAGTTTTAAGAATGGAAACTGAAAGACCGAGAAGAATTTAGTGGCATTTAGCCTGCGGCCCTTGCATTTTTTTGTCTTGTCTGCCATGCTTTACCATCTGCCTGTGGTTAGGTAGTTAAATCCTGGGGGATTGGATGGGGCACCCAGGTGGCTCAGTGGTCGAGCGTCTGCCTTAGGCTCAGGTCATGATCCCAGGATCCCGTACCACATGGTACTGGGATCCAGTACCACATCAGGTTCCCCTGCAGGGAGCCTGCTCCCCCCTCTGCCTGTGTCTCTGCTTCTCTCTCTGTGTCCCTCATGAATAAATAAAATCTTAAAAAAAAAAAAAAGCTGTGGGATTGGAAAGAGGTGTACAGAGAACAATTCAGTGTCATCATCCTCAGCCAACGCTTCTCAGAGGCTCAGAAGAGTGTTCACTCAGTAGGCCTTCAGTGGTTGGCTTTGTCCATCATTTGGGAAGAGGGTAGACCACCTGAAACCCTGGCTCCTGTCCCACATCGAATAACCCATGTGCAGTCCAGTTCATTCCACATCACACGGCCCACACAAATGGGGCTTCCTGAGCTGAAAGCCAACAGATGTCGGCGACCTCTCATGGTTGTGGACCCAGTTGAGGTGGTAATAAACCTGAAACCTTGCCACGTGGGGACTTAATAGCACTGTGACCAAGTCCCAACTTCTCCAGTTGCTATGGGGACTAGCCCCGAGCGTTCAGACTTTGGATGGGAGGGGTTCATGCTAGGGAAGCTATTGTTCCAATAAACCCTTTGAAAAAGAAGAACAAAAAGAAATAAGGGAAAGATAAACATAGATGCAAACTCAGCGCTGGTTTAAGGGTTCCCCATCCATGTCTCCACACAAGTGCTTTGTCGTCTTCTCTGTCGGGGAAGCCCTTCTACTGTAACCGCAGCCAGGGGTCTGCAGGCCTCTGCTGCCCAAGCAGGGGGCTTACCCAGTGTGCCCCCGCTCTCGCACCTGGTGCTGGGCACCTCACCCGAGCGTGTCAAGGTCACACACGGACAGACAGACCTGTAGCGTCTGAGGACCAACCCCACTGCATTTCCATGGACTTAGCTAAAGAGTTGCCTTCAACAGATGTAATCAAGAACTTAGGGGATCCCCGGGTGGCTCGGCCCAGGGCGTGGTCCTGGAGTCCCCATCGGGCTCCCTGCATGGAGCCTGCTTCTCCTTCTGCCTGTGTCTCTGCCTCTCTCTCTCTCTCTCTGTCTCTCAGGAATAAATAAATAAAATCTTAAAAAAAAAAAAAAAAAAAGAAAGGAACTTAAACTCCCATCTTCATTTCAGAAAGGGGCAGAGCAGTCCACAGCAGAGCCTGCGCTTTCTGGCCCAAAGCTGTCCCCTGAGAAGCTGTCCCTCACAGTGGCCTCAGGTGTCCTTTGGGCACTCCTAGGAGTCACGTTCATAATGCTGTCTCCAGTGTCTTATTTTGACCAGGCCAGCCTTTTCTCCCAGTGGTCCTCATGGAGAGTCTCCTCAAAGTAGCCAAGTCATTCCCTGCGAGCTGCTTTTGCACATCAGGTAGTCGTGATGCGCTTCGCTGGGACTATGACCTTGCAAAAGTCAGCTCCCCATTCCTGGCAGGGACATGTGTTCTGCTAAATGCCAGAGAGGATCTAAAGCTATCGGGCTCCACAGAAAAAAAGACACTTTTTTCCCTTACAGTGAAGATAATAATCAGGTAATAATCTTGATAATTATGATAATTAGCCCAGGTGTTTTCCTATGTTGTTCTAAAATTGCTGGGCCACTCTTGATAGTTTTTTTAAAATCTCCTTTTAAAGTACAAGTAAAGGGAGCACCCGGGTGGCTCAGGGGTTGAGCATCTGCCTTCAGCCCCAGGCGTGATCCTGGAGTCCCGGGATCGAGTCCCACGTCGGGCTCCAAGCATGGAGCCTGCTTCTCCCTCTGCCTGTGCCTCTGCCTCTCTCTGTGTCTCTCATGAGTCAATAAATAAAATCTTTAAAACTAAATAGAATAGAATAAGAGCAAAGGTACCCCAGGCTCCACGAAGAGAGGGCCTGGTAGGTCCTGACCTCTAGATCAGACCCTGCTCTGCTATGTTAAGCTGCCTCCATCTAGGTTTATTAAAACGTAGCATTTTTTTCTTTCGTTTTTTGTTTTCATTTCAAAAAAAAAAAAACCCATAAACTTAAATCCATGGATAATAAATTGACTTTTCCTCTTTTCTCTCTGGCCACCAGCCCACAAGTGTAAGGAATCCTGAACTTGAACGAAATGGACTGTACCCGGCCTACACTGGACTGCCGGGGTCCCGGCACTCGTGCATTTTCCCCGGACAGTATAACCCGTCTTTCATCAGTGATGAGAGCAGGAGAAGAGACTACTTCTAAGTGCCGAAGCGCCAGGGAGGGCCCACCCCTCTGAGCAAGTTGCAGGACCTCGAGGCTCAGAGGACGGTGCCCCAGGAGGGAGCGGGGCACCCTGGCTGCTGCTGGGCCTCGCGGAGCCCCCCTGGGGCGCAAGCAGGCAGTGGGACAGGTGTGAGGGATGCGGCCGCAGTGGAAGGGGCAGCCGGAGCCGCGACGCGCAACGGAGGGCTGCCCGCCGGGCACCTTCGCCCTTACTGTGAACGTGAACGTGGGCCGGTCCCGGGAGTCTCCTGGGCACTGCAGCTGCCTCCGGCCCCCACCCGAGGGCCGCGTCTTGGCCAGGGCACGGCGTCCGGCACCTTCGCCAGGACCCAGTCTTCCCTTAGTTTGCACTTTAGTAAATTGGGTAGGGAGGTCTCTGTTTTTGGATTTTTTTCCAAGACTGTTCCAAAAAGAAGGCCTCTTTTCCTTAGACACTTCCGTAGGCCTCAATTTGGTGATTAATTTACAGCAAAATACCGGCCCTTTGGTTGTTTTCTTGCCCTGTATCTACATGCTAACCAACAGATGATGATGATGATGATGATGATGATGATGAGCATACCACTAAGGCTTGGAGATGCTGCAGGTGAGCATACAGTATCTTAGTAGGGCTCTAGGTCTTTGCAGTTTCCAAGCCACCCCTCAAACTGAGGAAATGTGCGAAGCATAGCACACACTGCATTTTTTTTAGCCAAGGTGACACATTTATTTAAGATTGTTTTCTCCCTCCCCAGTTAAATCTCACTTTTCCTAATAAGTCTGCATCAGGGCAAAACAGGTTGCATTTGGTTTTCATTGGAGGCCTCGCGGCGCCGGGTGCAGGCCCTGGCAGGAGGGTGGCAGGCCGCGGGGCGCCCCTCGTGCCCGGGGCCCTCCCGGGGACTCCGACGTCCACGTCGAGGTGGAAGCTGCTGGCACGTGTCGCAGAACCGGCCGCCGACTGAGGGGCAAGTGCACCAGGTTCCTGAGGAGGCCCCGGGAGCTTGGACCGAGCCGCGGCCCGTGAGTCTGCTTCCCTTCCCCGGGCAACTTTTTTGCCCCTGTCTGTCCTGGATCTTGTCCACGTAGCGTAGACTTTACACTGTAAACTCGGTGTAAACGTCTGACCAGCTGCCCAGAGCTGTTTATTCATTGAAGAAATAGCTTCTTTCCTCTCATGCAGTCCTTGCCCGTCTTCATACTACTGCCCGGGTCCCTCAGACACACGATCATTTGAGTCAGCTTCGGGGGACTGAAGACTTCGGGCCAGTTAAGGAGTTGAGAGGTTGCCTTTGGGAAGGAGATGCCACATGTCTTATTTATTGCGCCTGTGACCTGGGTCGTGTAGGGGAGCGGGGGGCGTCCCTGGTGCACGGGGTCTTTAAGCGCTACTTGTGGAACTGTGATCATTCTCCTGTGCTTTGGAAACATGCCGCTTTGGGATAGAGAACACGGTGGCAAAAGACTGTTCCACCCTGAAGCTTGGAGCTCAGCAGCACCCACATTTCTGGAAGCGGTGCAGCCTTTGGGACAGTTCTGTCCTGGGCATGGGTGTTTCTTCCGAGTTCCCTTATCTCTTTAGAATGTGTCTCATCCTTACTGTTCTGTAATCCTCATCCTAAGAGTTTTAAGTGTCAACCTCTGTGTCCCATGGTCTCCACGAGCCACCGTTCCCCTGCTGCAGCAGGTACACGAATCAGGTGTGATACTTCGTAGTCATTACCTGGGACTCCTCGCCTGAGATACACGTTCTGTTTTTGTCAGTGGTCGCCAGCCGACAGTGTCAGAGCATCACCTTTCTGAAATCTTGGGGCTTGCGTGTCGCTGGGGAAGCCAACAGCCTGTGTGCCTCCCCGTCTCCCATCTCCGGAGAGCTCCGAGCTCCTGCCCTCCGCTCAGCTGGCCCCAGCGGGAAGGGGTGGGGGGCGCTATCCCCGGGCATACTTAGCTGAAGGTGTCAGGTGATGTCACAGCTGATAAATCATCTCCTGTGTCAGGACCAGAAGCTATAAGCTACACAAAATGAAGTGTTCTGTCTCAAAAGCATTCTTGAGAAGAACCCCAAAGTCCAGAAAAGAGCGTCCTGTGAGTTCCAAGAATGCTTTCCTGTGAGGTTTTGTGCACACCAAGTGGATTAAGAATGTTGCTTTTCCTTTACTGTGAAAAAGGGGGCCCCCTACAATGTTAGGTTCAAATGTATCTCATTTCTAAGAGGCCGTGGCGTTGGGGAGAGGCTATGTCAAGAGCATGAGGGTCTGAGAAGGCACGACAGCAGCTTCACGTCCGCGGGGCTTCCCGCCTCCTGCAGGGCCGGCAGGGCTGGCAGCAGATGACCAGCAGGCCAGCAGCTCTCGGCTCCGGCACAGGTGCCCGGCGTCAGCCCCTGCACCTGCGATGTGTGATGCGTGATGCGTGTGCACAGAAAGGCCACGGCCCCGCCTCACTGGGGCCCCACCATAGGGACACTTGCCTGCTCATGAGGCTTAAACCTCTGGAGGGACGGGCGGGGTCCGGTGGGAGCCACGTGTCCTGGAGCAGACCCCAGACTGCACGGGGACTCTCAGAGCAGGACAAGGGTCACCTCCAGCCTCCTGGCAGCTGAGCGTTTTATTTAAACTCCCCAGGGCCCTGTTTCTCCTGTCTTTTCCTCTCTGCCCCATGAGCCGGCCCAGGGCCCTGGAGACAATTGAAGCCCCCCTGTCACAACCAGGATCTCCAGCGTCCCCACCATGACCGGGCTCTGTGCAACGTCCTCGGCCTCCCCACAGCCTTGCGAGGCGTGCATCCGAGCGTCCGTGTCTTACCCGTGTGAACTTGCAGAGAGGATACGTATCTGCCTTAGCGAGCCAGGGTTCAAGCCCTTTGCCCAGCCTTGCCCTCCTGGGGAAGGCCTCGCCATCCAAATGCACCTTCAGTGTCAAAGAGGGCATGAGAGACGGGCTTAAATATACTTTAAAAAAAACAAAACAAAACCCTAATATTAGTAAGCATCACCAGAACTAATGACATGAAATGCATAATAAAATAAAATAAAATAAAATTTGAAAAGTCGAATCCTTTTTGAAAAAGTCCTTTGGGGTTCATCGCATATATTTCTTGGACACGTGAGGTCATCTTTAAGAAAATAGCGGCTGGCTGTGTTTAGCAAGAGTGTACTAGTACGTGGCTTTGGGTGTACGAAGGGTGAGGTGATGGCCTGGCTTTGGGCAAGTGCAGCCTGCCTTAGAGGCGCCTCTGACGGCTGCTTTGCCTGGTTCCGGCAGTAAGGCGGTGGCTCCCACGTACAGGAAGCATATTTTTGTGAACGTGATCAGAGTCGTGAACGCATTCAGTTGGGTGTCTTAAATGCTGACAAATCTTCCTCTTTTGATGAAAAACTTATTTTCAGAAGCAGCTAAGTCATTTGGAGCCAAATTTGTTGAATGGGTAGTGAGATCAAGCTGGCTGCTTGCATTTGATGTGATAGACAAAGATGTGACCCTTGGGTTCTCGAAGAGGTCATTCTTAAAGGTGGCCCGGGCTGAAGGGCAGCGTCTCTGCAGTACAAGGGCTGGACGGCCGTCCAAAAAGATGTTTTTGAAGGATGGTATTTATTCAGATGTGGAAGTTCCCAGAGCAGGCACGTCTGGATCATCCCTCATGTGTGGCCTTGTGGGGTCTCCACGAAGCCCTCTTGCCCACTGGCCACGTGCCCGGGTGCCTGGTAACTCTGGGAACTTTCCCTGAAAAGCTAAGACTGAGCATTCTAGTTGCTCCTGGCTTAGTTTAGCCTACCGCACCCCAAAGTAGGGTTCTGACTGAGAGTTCTAAGGTATTTCCCCTGATTTCAAAACTAGAGCCCTTCTTTGGAGACAGGAAGAATGCAGATTTCAATATTTTACGATTTTCTGTCTTCTTTAATACTGCCCTTAAAGGACGCCTGGGTGGCTCAGTGGTTGAGCATCTGCCTTCGGCTCAGGTCATGATCCTGGGGTCCTGGGATCGAGTCCCACGTCGGGCTCCCTGCATGGAGCCTGCTTCTCCCTCTGCCTGTGTCTCTGCCTCTCTGTGTCTCTCATGAATAAATAAATAAAATTTTTAAAAATAAAATAAAACTGCCCTTAATACCAGAGATATTTTTTCTACATGAAGACTTGCAGGGCTTAAAAGGGACATGTCATTTCCTCCTTCTTGACAAAATATTATTCTGAGGTTCTCATGTGCGTTTTTGGAAACCAATATAATGTCATAGAGTTGTCTTTTGAGTATGTGTTCTTTTTATTTTTCTTTTCTGAAATCCCCAGAGAAGGAGACTGGTTAAAATCCTAGAAATATTAAAGTATTATATTTGTTAATTTGTTGTGCTAAAGTATCTTTTCAATAGTGTTATAATCCATCCTATTTGGTGTCAACTGCTCACAAAAAAGCCATTGAAACCGATGGGGACAATTAAGGTTTGTAAAGAGAGATCTTACACCAGCTTCGTCCCCTCTGCATTTTTTTAGGGGGACATTTCAAAGGATTTTTATAGTAGATTCTGGTTTTATCATATTTTCTTTGGACACGGAATGCAGGTGCATATTTCTTGCATAGGAAGGATGGGACTGGACAGGGGTGGGATGGAACCACTCTATCTGGGAAACTCACCCAGATTTCTGTATTACTTTTGCCTATTTCTTTAAAAAAAAAAAAAAAGGTCTTTCATCATGGGTTGCTGTGAGTTTTGTTAATGTTTGTGTTGCTGGATTTATGGTTAAATGAAGCATGTAGCTGGCATATGAACTTCTTGAGTTTTCACATTGTCCTGAATTTCTTTTTGCAAACCTTTATACCTTAGCCCCTGATTGATTGTGTTAAAAACATTATGAGAATGTTATTTAAAGTTGTATTATAATTGCCACCTCCACTAATTATTCAGTACTGTAGCAGCAAAGTATTATTTGTAAGAATTTGGTTATTTTTATACTTATATCTACTTTAAGTCTGGCGTTCTAGTCAGTAAATGATGCAATAAAATGAATATCATTTTCATTGTGTGTTTTTCTCATAATAACTAGCAAATCACACCAAAGTGCAGCAGGTTCGCTGTTCATGAGTTAACAGCGGAACCGTATAGTGAGCTTCAAATCACAAATACAGGGACTGGATCATTTCTGGATCCTCAGTGCCCAGCACGGTGAGGAAATACACTCTTGATGATGGATGGATGGACAGACACACAGACCTAAATGATAAAAAGCTGAATTTAGATAGAACACCTGCTTTTGTTTATTTTTCTTTCTGTGGACTGGAGAGCGTTAGGTGACCAATTCGGGTGCTCAGCATTTCCTCCTGCCTGCCCCCCACTGCCACCCCTGCTACCTCTCCACATCTCACAGGGGAAGGGGCAGTAAGCATCTCTGTACTCAGTGGCACAGGGAATCCGTCGAACTTTAAGGCAGTAGTGGGCCGTGAGCCTTACACTTCTGCCAGCCAGTGAATGTGGCTGCCTGACTGGATTGATGTTCATTAATTATTTGCTTCCTTCAGTACCATTTCTGACAGGGATGAGTGAGCCTCTTAGCTGCTTTATGACGGAAACCTTGATCACTGGGAGAGGCTAATCATGTCAGCTTGGTGCCTGGAGGTGACCTTTGGCACATTAGATCAGGGTTGCAATCCATCAGACGTCTCTGAATGGAGATGACCAGCAGCACTCTCCTCTCCTGACCCAGCTCCCCCCAACTCAGCTTTCCAACCCATCAGCGGAGACCTCAACAGCACCCAGGCATTAACCCCTTTCCTTTTCCTACTCACCTCAGCCAGACATCACAGCATTTCCAGACCCACTCACCCCTGGTATCTGTGTAGGACCTAAAAGTGGGTCTACTGCTATCTACGGACGGGCTGGCCAGATGCTTGTCCTACTTGTGCCTCTGATCGGGGAATGTTGTGCCTCTACCTGGGGATTTGATTTGCCAATAAGTAAAGAACTAAACAATATTTTTAGAGCCTTGGACTTAAAGGACTACATCCATGCACACCGACTGGTTCCAGTTGCTTGGGAAGTGACAAAAGCAAAGGAACATATGCCAGAGTCCTTCTGTTTTCTGAATGGCCAGAATAGCTCTAAATCCCCAGAACAGAGTTGTGGCATCAAGCAACCATCTGACACAGCAAGCCTGCACTTCAGAAAGATAGAAGAGAGATGCCAGGGGCACCTGGGTGGCTCAGTGAAGTGTCTCTTGATTTTGACTCAAGTCGTGATCTAAGGGTCATGAGATCGAATCCTGTGCTGGGTTCACGTTCAGGATGGAGTCTACTTAAAATTCTCTTTCCATCCACTACACAATCCCCACCTTCCACCCCACCCTCCACTCACTGCTTAAATAAATAAATAAATAAATAAATAAATAAATAAATAAATAAAATCTTTAAAAAAGAGTGATGCCGAAAATAAAGATATTTATTGATTTTTTTTTTATTGACCTCATAAAAACAGCACTATTGGAAGGTCTGGGCTCTGACCACCCGTACAAGACAGTCTCTAAATTTCATGGCCTTTTCTCCCAGATCATGATGTCGGGCTAAAGTGTCTGCTCAGCTCTCTGAGCCTCAGAGTCCTTATCCCTGAAGCAGGGATAAAAATTATTGCTTTGCCGAGTTGTTGTGAGGATTACAAGGAAGAATACATGTGCGAACACTCTGTAAACTACCAAGAAACCTAACATAAAGAGAACATATTGGTTCTTTTCAGTAGGGTCCTCCTATCACCAAAAGAAAGGTAATTGGAGAATTAATATGTAGTCTCAATGCTGATTCACTAGTACTTGGTCCCGAAGACCTCAGACTTGCTGCCAAAGTGTTCCTGCCATTTCCCCTTCCCTCCCCTCCACCTGCCCCCCACCCCCCATATCACGAAGGGATCCATGAGCATGACATTGTCAGCTCATGGGGTGGGAACCAAGACTGTCCAATTGAATATAAGACGTTCAGTGCCTGGCACCTAACAGGCATTTGCTATAATGGAAGAGTGAGTTGGAAGATGAACCATTGCAATGGAAGAAATACACTGAAGTTGAAGGTCCTGGAGACTCACACCCTCTAGGAGCTGCAGGCTGGTGACTCCCTGATAGCGAGCATGTGTGTGGCTGTGATGCATCACTGAGCAGGAACCCTTAGCAAAGATGTCCTGTAGCAAAGCCCAAGCAGGTATCTGTAGATGAAACACTTTAAAGATGCTCTTCACCTGATGACCCTGGGGAACAACGGTACAGGGGAATGCTACTCAGCAAAGAAGAGCAGCGAACCACCACAGCAGGCAGCCTCATGCTTGAGTCTCAGAACCATTGTGAAGTGGTGAAAAGAGCCAGACATAAAGCCTTCATATTGTATAGTTCCATCTATATTATATTCTGGAAAAGACAAATCTGTGGGGCCAGAAAACAGATAAGTGGATACCTGGAGGTGAGGAGGAAGATTTCTGCAGTTCACTGAAAAATTTCCAGCTTTCCTCTTTCCAGGCACAAGGTAGGGTGCACTTCCCCACTTCTTGTGAAATATGGCCATGGGGCTTGCTTTGGCCAAAGAAGCATGAAGGAAACTGAAATGTATCCCTTCTGGGAAGACGCTTTAAGGGCCAGTGAGTGGGGTTCACTTCTCTTGCCTTAGCAATCAATGGAAACACATGTTGAGATTGAGCTACTGATATTGGCCTGGGACCCTGGCTCTCTAGGCTTGGAAATGTCCTGCTGCTTTGTTAAGGGAGATTCAGGGGTCACCTATGCAGCATTACTGGGTGCATCCTGACTGGTGCGGTGCTCTAAAGTTAACTCTAGTTACTGTAGTTTACATGAATTGCTTGGTTTCTAGTTCAATGCCATGGAACATTTATGATTATCATTGAAATTGTTCAACTCAGCACTTTTAGGTTTGTTTGGTTGGGTTTTTTGGCTTTTGGTTTTTTTGCTTTCTTTTCTTTCTTTTAGATTATTTATTTATTTATTTGTTCATTAATTCACTCATGAATGAGAGACACAGAGGTAGAGGCAGAGACACAGGCAGAGGAAGAAGCAGGCTCCATGGAGGGAACCTGATGCGGGACTCAATCCCGAGACCCCAGGTTCACGACCTGAGCCAAAGGCAGATGCTCAACCACTGAGCCACCCAGGTGTCCCTGTTTTTCGTTTTCTTTCTTTCTTTTTTAATTTTATTTTTTAATTTTATTATTTTTATTTTATTTTTTTATTTTTTTATTTTTTATTTTTTATTTTTTATTTTTTATTTTTTATATATATATTTTTCATGTGTTTCGTTTTCTTAACAAGAAGTCACCTTAGAAACACTCAGTAGTGGCTCATATTTTCTCAGCCTGCTGCTTAAGGCTTTGTAATATGAATGAGTTTCGAACCAGAATGACCTCGGTTTGAAAGAGCTTATTAGCTGTGAGGTCTTGATGAATTTCTTTCCTATTCGGGTCATTAGATTCCTCCTCTATAATATAGAAATAATGAGATCCTAATTCAGAGATAATATTGAGACATCAAATCATAGGATGTCTCTACAGTATATCTAAACAATAGGATGCATCATATAGCTCTGGCCTGCAACGAAGCCAACATTGAATAGACTCCGTGGTGGGCATGCTTCAAGTGGCTGTCTTGTGAATATAGAACTAGGATAGGTCTTTCCCTCCTGCTTACTCCACTCTAATTGGCAAATCCCATTAGAAGTCGTCATCACACAAAAAAAAATAAATAAATAAAAATAAAAAGAAGTCATCATCACTATGATATCAATTAAGACATGAGTTGTTTTGAGCAATAAACTATAATGAATATTCCATGGGGGACTTGATCTATATTTAGCCTCTGATGATTAGGGAAATTAAGGAACAAAGTCCATCTTCCTTCTCTCTCCACATCATCAACCCAATCCTAGAATATCTTTTTGCTTACTTCCTTATTGGTTGGTTAAGATTTCTAAGAAATTAATTCCTTTCTAAAGGCCAAGGGACTGGGATATAGTCGTCATAACCTGGAAATTGGAACAGGTTCACCTTGGCTCACAGAATCCTAGATTGTGTGACGTGGAGAGCATTGCAGTGAGGTCATCCCGGCACGTGGTTTACAAAACCCGCCCTGGGCAAGAGGCTGGGCCAGGGAGAAGTCATTGCTGGGCTGAGACCAAATGCATGAAATAGGTGGTCAGTTTTTCAAAAAGCTAAATTTACTAATTTAAATGCGATATCTTTAAGAGATAATGTCTTTTCTACTTTTTTTTTTTTTAGTTATAAAAATGCCCTTTATTTTATGAACCAATGGTGATAGCAGATGGTAGTTTTTTTCTTTCTTTCATGGTTGTCATTGGTGTTTTCCCATTTTTGAAACTAGATTAGTGTCAAGTATGAAAAGGAAGTCCCCTTCAAAAGGGCAGAATTGGGCGGGTCTCAGACTTCACAACAACATCCAAAGCTTGAGGGCAATGAAGCAACATCTACAAAGTTATTCATTTCCTTGTGAAAGCAATAGGCAGAGATTGTCTAAAAGAAAAGATTTTAGGAAGCTCGCACCCAAGAAAATTTACTCCATTGTGAAGTCTTAGCCGAGAGAAAAATCAAAATGCCGAATATAGGAATGGAGAACCCCTGAGGGTAAGTATTGAAGCTGTTTAGCTATAGAACTAAGACTGAAGAAAAAGAATTAAAGTTTAGGAACAGAGGGACACCCGGGTGGCTCAGCAATTGAGCGTCCTGCAAGTCTATAGACATCATCATTTTCCCAACAGCATTTGCTCACTTCGTGTCTCTGACACATGTTGCTAATTCTCACAATATTTCAGACTTTTTCATTATTCTATTGGTTATGGTGAGCTGTGATCTTTGATGTAACTATTGTAGTTTCTTTGGGACACTGAACTGGGCTGATCTAAGACAACCAATTTGATAACTGTTGTGTGTTTTCTGACTGCTCTGTTGACCAACCATCCCCTTATCTGTCTCTCTGCCCTCGGGCCTCCCTACTCC